TAAGCTTCTTCCCCCACCTCTCCTTCTCCCTCTCCCTCTCCCCCTCCCCTTTTTGTTTTCTTGTTTTCCCTATACGCTTCTTCTTCTTCCCCACAGCCGCCTCCCCTCCCCCCACTTTCGTTTTCTTGTTTTCCCCACATCCGTCTCTTCTTCTACTTCTTCTTCCTCACTGCCCTCCCCCTACCCCCTTAAAAAAAGAAAAACAACCCAATCTTTGAAAATCCTTACTAAAAGTGGCCCTTCTGGTTGTGAACATTTCTCCCCTCCCACTACTAGAAATTCGGTAAAAATCGACCTAAACAACCGACCAAAGTTGGTCGGTAATGGCCAATAACCGACCAAAACGCGACCATTTACGTGTGGACGGTATTTTAGGGGTCGGAAAGGCATACCGACCAACTTTGGTCGGTAAATTAAATTAAAAAAAAAATAATATTGCAAAAAAAAATCCGACCAAAGTTGGTCGGTATTTTAATTATGTAATCCAAAAATTCACCATCTGGGAATCGAACCGGAGTCTGTACTGTGGCAGGATACTATTCTACCACTAGACCATTGGTGCATTTTGTTTTAAGACTGTCTTTTATTTGATTTATACACTTTAATTGTATTTTCGCACGAAAATAACCGACCAAAGTTGGTCGATTTTTTTAAATGACTGGCCGAATTAACGACCAATTTTGGTCGATTTTTTAATATTAATTTTTATTTATTTTAATTAAAAAATCGACCAAAGTTGGTCGGTTTCTTGAAAAATAAATTTCGCGGGACTCAAAAATAGTTTCCCGCATTTTTGCGCCAAAGAAAACCGACCAACTTTTGTCGGTTTTTTGACCGATCAAAGTTGACCGGTCGACCTTGGTCGGTTTTTGCCGAATTTCTAGTGGTGTCCCTCCCCCCAAATCCAGCTCCACAAGCATATATTATCCGACTCCGGCGATGCGTTGATAGCTGCTGCTAAGAACAATGCGGTGTTGAACTGGCTAATTAAAAATAACTAAATGATTATTCACCGGAATGGTGAGACGGACAAGGGAGAAGAAATCTGTGCATTGCTAAGCACTAGGCATGGCTAATTTGAGAGAAGGGAGATAATATGGAGGCATTAATTTTTTTTTTCTTTTTCTTTAAAAAAATAGTATATAATATTCCGTGTTTTTAGTAGATAGAATATAAAAAAATAACGTGGAATATGATGTATCATCAATGTCAAGCAAGTGAGATACACACATAGTCGAGTTTAAAATATAGATTTTGATCAAGTTAAAGTGTCTGGACGAAAACAAGTGAAGTAGAAGGACTGGGATAACAAACCGGAACAAGTACAAATGTTTAAGAGGCTATTCTTTCTTAAAACATTATTAAAAATGAGCATTGATATATCAAACAAAGAGAACAATTGTCTTAACCATTTATTTGATTGAACATTATGAGTCATAGTGTTGTTTAATGAAAATATACCTTAATCGCAGGTAAAAAATAGCTCTGTTCCAACCATAATGAAAGCTATCTACCAGCAAAATTACCGAATATTTGAAGTATCAATCATGAAATTGCAGTCAAAACAGACGTTTTCCGGCAGCTCCTACAGCGTCTATTGGGATATATCAGCAGCTACTTCTTTTTTCGTTAAACTCTGGTGTGATTTAGGGATCTTGTTGATTAGGAAAAAAAGCTTACCGCTTTATCATCAGAAGAAGCTTTGGAGTGACGAGCATAGTAAGAGATGCAGCGGCGAAATTAGAAATTTTTACAAGGGGATCGTCAAATTAATCTGACCAATTCGTGGGGGCAGCTAATAACATTGTAATATAATTTTTAAAAGAGAAATGATTATTTAAATATACACTTTGTTATATTATGAGTCCAAATATACACTGTCATTATTTTTTGGGTTCAAATATATCTCTCATTTAAACGGAGGGACACGTGTCGTCGCCCTGTTGGCCAATTATAAATATCTCATAATTAATTAATAAAAGACTCATTACTCATACCTGAAAAGCAATTTTCTAAAATAATTTTTTTGTAAAAACTGAAAAAACTGAATTTTTTTTACTAAAAACTGGAAAAAAACGAAAATATTTGTTTTCCAGTTTTTATTAAAAAATTGCTTTAAAAAACTGAAAAATATTTTCTAAAGCAATATTTTTATAAAACTGAAGAAAAAAAACTGAAAAATAATTTTCTAAAGCGTGTAAAAACTGAAAAATTGAATTTTTTAAAACTAAAAACTGAAAAAAATGAAAATATTTGTTTTTTCAGTTTTTACAAAAATATTGCTTTAGAAAATTATATTTTAGTTTTTTTTTTCCAGTTTTTACAAAAAATATTGCTTTAGAAAATATTTTTCATTTTTTTAAAGCAATTTTTTTCTAAAAACTGGAAAAAAATATTTTCGATTTTTCAGTTTTTAGTAAAAAAGAATTCATTTTGTTTTCCAGTTTTTACAAAAACGTTGCTTTAGAAAATTATTTTTTATTTTTTACAAAAATATTGCTTTAGAAAATATTTTTCAGTTTTTTTTAAAGCAGTTTTTTGTAAAAACTGGAAAAAAAAATATTTTTATTTTTTCAGTTTTTAGTAAAAAAATATTTAAGTTTTTTCTAGTTTTTACAAAAAAAATTGCTTTAGAAAATTGCTTTTCGGGTATGAGTAATAGGTCTTTTTAATTTTAATTAATTATGAGGTATTTAGAATTGGCCAACAGGACGATGACACGTGTCCCTCGGTTTAAATGAAAGATATATTTGAACCCAAAGTATAGCGGTAAAGGTATATTTGGATTCATAGTATAACAAAAGATATATTTAAACAATTTGAAAGTATAGGAGTATATTTAGCCATTTTTTCTTTTTAAAAATGTAAGCGTCAAGATAAAAACGTCACTGACAGGTACGATTAATCTGTGTATCGTTTTCATCGACAACGATTTATGCCTCCGTTTGTTCCGTCAGCCATTACTTTTTTGCCATTAAATGTTTTGAATAAAATATTTCCTATTTCGTTAATGAGAAATACATTTATATTATTTCGGTTAAACTTCAAAAAAAAAAATGTACTAGTTTGGTTAAGTGACTTAAATAATGGGTTAGTTAGGTTAAAAATTCCTTCTTCTCAAACCTACATTGACAGCAACATTTGTCTTTCTTGTGCGCAAAGCAATTTTTTAATATTTGAACCAAACTGGATTTCCCAGTTCCAGTCATTCTAGGAAACCAAAAGAAAACATGACACAATTCCTATTCCTACTCACTGAAGGAAAACCAAATTCTCTTCCTATAAATTCAGTTGCAACGCCTCAAAGTTCCTCACTTTTTCATTCAACAAAATCAATCTCCTTTTCTTCGTAAAATCACAATGGCTCCAATTACCAAAACACATAGTGATTTAAAGAAAAATCAATCAAGAATAACAATGCTTTTAAAGGCAGCAAACACAATAGCATTCAAGAAACAAGAGACAAGAAAAGAACCATTTCAAAAGGGTGATGAAGTTGAAGTAGCAAGTCATGAATATGGCTTTATTGGTTCTTACTACACAGCAACTATTGTTTCTTCTGTTGGTGCTTATCATTACAAAGTCAAGTACAAGACTCTGTTAACTGATGATAATTCTGCGCCATTAGAGGAGATTGTCACTGTCGGCGAAGTCCGCCCTGTACCACCTGAAGAAGAAGAAAATTTGCCAGAAAACAAGTTTCGTTTGTATAATATGGTTGATGCATTTGATAATGATGGTTGGTGGTTTGGATTTATAACTGGAAAAATTGGAGAAAATTGTTATGTCTATTTCCCTACAACTGCAGATAAAGTTGCATATCCTCCTGAAGTTTTGAGATTTCATCAAGAATGGTCTAATGGCAAGTGGAAAAAGGAAGGAGTTTTTGACTTATACTGATTTTGGTTTCAAGAGATTAACTTTCTCTTTTCAAGAAAAAAAAATAGTGTTTATATGAATATGGGGTAAGAGGAAATAATATTCATTTATTTGTATTCGTTTAGCCGAGTGATTCATTACTTTCTTCCTGAAGTACTGTGAGTTCGATCGTTTCCAGGTTTTTTAGTTTACTCTGGTGTAATATGAATGTGACTTATTAAATTTTAAAATTTCCATTTTGCATGTCAGATACTATTAATTTCCTTTAATTTGAAGAAAAACATAAATTTTGTATCATCCGTTCCAAAATTATTGATCAATATTCACGTCTAGTGCAGTTTTTAAGTACAAAATTGTGCTTGGTCATGAATAATTAGAAAGAACGTTTTAACCTTTCAAGAATTGAGACATTGTAAAAGCTTTAGCTAGGTGTCTTTAAATTTCTTTCAACACATTTAAAACAAAAAAAAAATCTTTGAGTCAAATCCAAACTATTCATCACATATATTCCTAATTCAAAGATCAAAAATTGAAGAAAAGCATAAATTTTGCGACTCTTTTTATGAGACTCTCATATATGTTCTCTTTCAAGCATGAGTTAGGATTTAATTTTGCGTCTCTTTTTAGAAAATTTCCAGAATAATCAAATGGTGAATGGTAGTTGGCTAATATTTACTGGACAAAAATCAGAAAGTGTTATAAATCCAATATATGGAGATGTCACTTTCAATGTATGTAGATGTTCTCTTTGTAACTGTCTTTGGCAAATTCAATACCAAACGAATGAGTTCATTAATACATGTAACTTGATGGCAAATTCAATACCAAACGAATGAGTTCATTAATACATGTAACTTGATGGCAAATTCAATACCAAACGAATGAGTTCATTAATACATGTAACTTGAGAAGAGATTTGTAACCTATAAATAAGATGTTATTCTCCTATAGAATATACATAAGAAGCATACTTGAAATAAAAAAAAAGTTTCCTCCTCCTCTCTACATCTCTTATCTATTCTTGTCTTCTACTCTTTTGGTGCTTTAGTTTATAATTATAATATTTATTTTATAACACGTTATCAGCACGAGTTTCTAACCAATTGAAGTTATCTGCTTCGTCCGAATTTTATCGTCTTCCTAAAGAGTAAGCTTTAATTTTACATTATCATACGGGCATGTCTAGTTCTAAGTTTATTTTTATGAAATAGAACAAAATGCTATCCATTCTTTGCCATGATATTAAAAGAACCTTATGATATTATGCTTTTGAACGACTTCTATTTAATATGGTAAATATTTTCTGTCTATGTTAGAGCTATTATTTGGTTAGAAATATGAACTTTGAAAACTATCAATTAGATATTGACAAGTCTTTTGCTGAAAATTAGAAATAGTGATATCATTAAGATTTATGCCTAACTACACTATTGAGAGATGTAATAAGTGTCGGAACATGATATACTTACTTTAATTTTGTAACTCTCTGATTATTGCCTATTGAGTAAACGTATTTGGCTTCTCATGTATACATAGGGTAATGATTGTGTGCTAATTTTCAGTCAAGCATGATATAGTAACATTGCATTGCATGTAATTACTTTTTATTTTTACAAGCTTATATACACGATATTAGTACACGATTATGTACTGCACTGAATTGATAATAATTCTTGTCATTCTAATTCACTTATTTCTATGATAGTTTTCACTATGTCGAATTTGTCAAAACTTGAATTTATGGCACTTGACATCTCTGGGAATAACTATTTGTCATGGGTACTTGATGCTGAAATTCACCTTGACGCTAAAGGTCTTGGTGACACTATTAAAGAAGGAAATGAAGCATCAAGTCAGGATAAGGCGAAAGCCATGATTTTCCTTTGCCATCATCTCGATGAAGGGTTAAAAAGTAAATATTTAACCTTGAAAGATCCATTTCAATTATGGAGTAGTTTGAAGGAACGATATGACCACCTAAAGGCCACGGTATTGTCAAGAGCTCGTCGTGAGTGGATGCACTTACGGCTACAAGATTATAAGCCCATAAGTAAATATAATTATGTTGTATATAGAATAATTTCCCAACTAAAATTATGTGGGGAACCTATGAATGATGAGGACATGCTCGAAAAGACTCTTTCCACTTTTCATGCCTCAAATATGGTTTTACAACANCGAAAAGACTCTTTCCACTTTTCATGTCTCAAATATGGTTTTACAACAGCAATACCGTGAAAGGGGCTTTAAGAAATATTCTGAGTTAATTTCATGCCTTTTGGTGGTTGAACAACATAAGCCCTTTTAATGAAAAATTATGAAGCCCGCCCCACTGGATCAGCTCCATTTCTAAAAGCGAATCTGGAAACGATAGATCCAAAGTCTGAAAAAAGATAAAATAATTATCCTGGTCGTATAAATATACGTGGGCATGGCAAAGAGCAAAATAATAATCGCCATAGTGGTGGTCGTTATAAACAAGAGAATAATAAGGGTTCTTAAAATAATCCTTCAAAAGGCAAAGGTAATGTTTGCCACCGATGTGGTATGAAAAATCATTGGGCATGAATTTATCATACACCTGAATATTTTGTCAAACTTTATCAAGCATCTATAAAAGGGAAACAAAATAAAGTTGAGACTCACTTGACTTTTCAAAATGATATTGAGGCGGCCCCTATAAATAATCATGATAAAGTTGAAACAAACCTTGTCTATAAAGATGATATTTTTGAAGGCCTTGCAGATATTACTCATTTAGAAGCTGGAGACTTCTTTGAGCATCATAACTGAAGACTTATTATTGGAAAAACTTATAAGAATAAATATATTTATTTTTATGAAGTTTATATTTTGAATAAATTTTTTTATATTGTCAGTATTTAATTTCATAAATGTAATTTCTTTTATTCTTAAATTTTTCAATATTACTTATCATGTATTTTTTTTTCTTCTTGAAGAATATGAAAACTTCCAGTCTTCAGTTGGGCGTATGAATAATAAAGAAGAAATATGCCTTCTGGATAGTGCTACGACGCACACCATATTAAAAGATAAGAGATATTTCTCTTATTTAATTATGAAAGAAGCCAATATCGTAACAATATCTGGTAGTACAAAATTAATTGAGGGCTCTGGAAGAGCGACTGTATTACTACCAGGAGAAAACTATATTGGCTGTTATTGATGCATTATATTGTAGTAGGTCTCAAAGAAACTTGTTGAGTTTCAAAAATGGCTATCATATTGAGACCACCAATGAAGAAAATGTTGAATACCTTTATATTACTACAATAAAAGCGAAAAAGAAGTATGTGCTTGAAAAGCTTCCCGCATTTTTCTCCAGATTATACTACACTAATATTAGTATAGTTGAATCACATGCCATAGTAAACAAGGAGTTTACTAATGGTTTTATTATTTGGTATGACCGGTTGGGACATCCCGGTTATAATATGATGCGCAAAATAATTGAGAATTCACATGGTCATTCATTGAAGAACCAGAAGATTCTTCAAACTAAAGAATTCTCTTGTGCTGCATGTTTTCAAGGAAAACTGATTATTAGACCATCGGTAATTAAAGTTGGAGTTGAATCTCCTGCATTTTTTAAACGTATACAGGGTGATATATGTGGGCCCATACACCCTCCATGTGGACCATTCAACTATTATATGGTTTTGATAGATGCATCTACAAGATGGTCACATGTGTGCTTGTTATCAACCCGAAATTTGACCTTTGCGAGGTTACTAGCTCAATTAATAAGATTAAGAGCACAGTTTCCAGATTATGCAATTAAGACACTTCGTCTTGATAATGCTGGTGAATTTACGTCCCAGACCTTTAATGATTATTGCATATCAATTGGGATAACAATTGAGCATCCACTTGCTCATGTTCATACTCAAAATGGTCTAGCGGAATCATTGATCAAACGCCTCCAATTAATTGTTAGACCAATACTTATGAGAACAAAACTTTTCATTTCGGCATGGGGCCATGCTATTTTGCATGCAGCAGCTCTTGTGTGGATCAGACCCACAAGTTATTATAAAGTCTCCCCAATACAGTTGGCTTTTGGTCAGGAGCCAAATATTTTCCATCTTAGAATATTTGGATGTGTAGTATATATTCCAATTCCTTCACCACAACGCACAAAGATGGGACCCCAAAGAAGATTGGAGATATATGTTGGGTATGAATCTCCTTCTATTATAAAATATTTGGAACCTATAACTGGATATTTATTTACGGCAAGATTTGCTGATTGTCATTTTGATGAATCAGTATACCCAATATTAGGGAGAGAAAATAAGCAGCTGCAAAAGGAGATAGATTGGAATGAATTATCACTATCTCATTTAGATCCTCGAACAAATCAATGTGAACACGAGGTTCAAAAGATAATTTATTTATAAAATATTACAAATCAACTACCTGATGCATTCACTAACTTACCAAGGGTGACTAAGTCACATATTCCAGCTGCTAATGCTCCTATTCGAATTGATGTCCCGGTTGGACAATCTATAAATGCAAATGAGTCTAAGCCACGCTTGAAACATGATAGACCAATTAGTTTCAAAGATAAAAATCCTCGAAAGCGAAAAGGAGCAAATGATCTAGGAGATCATAATATGGAGGTAATTGCTCAAAAAGAGCCCCGTGACATAACAAATGATAAGACCTCAGAGGAGGTCTAGATACATGAAAATAATAAGAATGAATAGATCTCAATAAGTTATGTCTCTACGGTAAAAAGATGAAACCGAAATAATATTATTGTCGACAATATTTTTGCTTATAATGTTGCTGTTGAAATAATGCCACAAGATGAGGATCTTGAACCAAGATCTGTTGATGAATGTAGACAGAGAAATGATTGGCAAAAATGGAAAGACGCTATCCAGGCAGAATTAGCGTCACTCGAAAAACGTGAAGTATTCAGACGTATAGTCCAAACACTTGAAAGAATAAAGCCAGTAGGATACAAATGGGTTTTTGTGCGAAAACGAAATGATAAAAATGAAGTCGTTAGATATAAAGCACGACTTGTGGCACAAGGATTTTTGCAAAGACCTGACATTGATTATATGGAGACATATTCTCCTGTGGTGGATGCAATCACTTTCAGGTATCTTATAAATTTGGCAGTCCATGAAAAACTTGATATACGTCTAATGGATGTTGTCACAACCTATTTGTATGGCACATTAGACAACGAAATTTATATGAAAATCCCTGAAGGGCTCAAAGTTCCTGAAACTAATAAAAGTTTTCGGAAAACTTGTTCAATAAATTCAAAAATCCTTGTATGGATTGAAACAATCAGGGCGAATGTGGTATAATCACCTGAGTGAATATTTGTTGAAAGAAGGGTATAAGAATGATCCAATTTGTCCTTGTGTATTTATAAGAAGGTCTGGATCTGAATTTGTTGCAATCGCTGTGTATGTTGATGATCTAAATATCATTGGAACTCCTGGGGAACTTCTAAAAGTAGTAGACTGTTTGAAGAAAGAGTTTGAAATGAAAGATCTTGGAAAGACAAAATTTTATCTTGGTCTACAAATTGAGCATATGAAAGATGGAATTTTTGTCCATCAATCAACTTATACCGAAAAGATCCTAAAGCATTTTTATATGGATAAAGCACATCCATTGAGTACCCCGATGGTTGTGAGATCACTTGATATAAATAAAGATCCATTTCGACCTCATAAAAATGATGGAGAACTTCTTGGTGATGAAACTCCATATCTTAGTGCAATTGAGGCACTAATGTATCTTGCAAATAATATTCGACCAGATATAACTTTTGCAGTAAGTTTATTAGCAAGATTTAGTTCCTTTCCAACAACAAGACACTAGAATGGTGTTAAGCATCTTTTTAGATACCTCTTAGGGACTATTGATATGAGATTATTTTATTCTTATGAATCCGATTCACAGTTGATTGGTTATGCAGATGCAGGTTATTTGTCTGACTCACATAAAGTCCGATCTCAAACAGGCTATCTATTACTTATGGGGGTACAACTATTTCATGGAGTTCAACAAAACAAACTTTAGCTGCTACATCTTCCAATCATGCAAAGATAATAACTATTCATGAAGCTAGTCGAGAATGTGTATGGTTGAGATCGGTGACTCAACATATTCAATAATTGTATGGTCTTTCTTTAAAAACGAAAATTCCAACGATATTGTATAAAGACAATGATGCTTGCATAGCTCAACTTAAAGGAGGATATATCAAAGGAGACAGAACAAAGCACATTTCACCAAAGTTTTTTTTTTCACACACGATCTTCAGCAAAATGGTGAGATAGATGTTCAACAAATCTGTTCAAGTGACAATCTAACAGATTTATTCACTAAGGCATTGCCAACATCAACATTTAAGAAGCTGAGACATAACATTGGAATGCGTCGTCTCTGAGATATCAAATAAAGCTTTCATCAGGGGAGTATAATATGCGTTGTACTTTTTTTCCCTTAACCAAAGTTTTGTCCCAATTGGGTTTTCCTGGTAAGGTTTTTAATGAGGCAACACTCAATGCGTATTACAAGATATNTGAGTTCATTAATACATGTAACTTGAGAAGAGATTTGTAACCTATAAATAGGATGTTATTCTTCTATGGAATATATATAAGAAGCATACTTGAAATAAAAAAAAAAGTTCCCTCCTCCTCTCTACATCTCTTATCTATTCTTGCCTTCTACTCTTTTGGTGCTTTAGTTTATAATTATAATATCTATTTTATAACAGAAAGTACTATTTAAGAAATCAACAAAACCGGGATTTATTGTACCAAAATAGTAAGTACTACTTAAGAAAAGCTACAAAGTGTAATAAGATTAAGCCACTAATGGTGTTTAATTTGTTAATATATTTGATTAAAGTATAAATGAGAGTGTAGCTCGTATGGTAGAGCGCTCGCTTCGCATGCGAGAGGCACGGTGTTCGATTCCTCGCACCTCTATTTTTTTACTTTAATTATTATTCACTATTCACTTTAATCTATTAACGAGCATTCACTGGCACAACGCATGCTGCTAATAGAAATATTATGTACATCCGTATCGGTGGCGATCAGGATTTTCATCAAGCGGGTTAACATGTGAAGAAGAAATGTACTAAGAACTCAACAAAATAAATTGTTATTAATATTAAAAATTAAAATACATTATTAAAACTATTTTCTTTGGGAAAATTTATGGTCTCGGGATTGGTAAGGACTTTTTCGGAGGTATGCTCTTCTAATCTCGTCAAACTCACTAAAACTAGTATATAAAAAAAGCTTTTCTAGTCTAAAAATAGAGAAAGAAAGGATTTGTGTCATTGTATCTAAATAGGTTTCGAACTCAAGACCCTCCTAAAAATTTGAACCCGCTTCACCATTGGGCTGGACACTTTGCTTGAACCATGTGGGTTCAAAATAAATTTTATAACGGAATATCTTCGAAGAAAGAGAATATATATATATATATAGTGTTATTTTTTGACGAAATGGTTCATATGAACCATCTTTGACTCCACGTGGATGCGTCCCTGATCCGTATGTTTCTCTGCTACTCTATTTTAAGAAAGGGATAAAAAAGAATAATAGTACTATAGTAGCATCATACTTTAAAAAATAGAGGGTATCACCAGCAACTTATTTTTTCTTGATTGCTAAAATGGATAATATGGGGTTGAAATACTTTATGTTATTTTTTTTTTTGATTTCCTACCCGGTGTTTGGTATCCGCACAGAGGCGGAGCTAGGATTTCAACTTTATTGGTTCTAAATTATATAACGACGAATTCAAGTGCTAATAACTGAGTTCTAAATTCAATATTTGTACATATTTAACGAACTTTTTGATGCAAACACAATGTTTGAGCAAAAGTTATTGGGTTGGGCCAAGCCCGCATATGGGCTTCTAGCTCCGCCCCTGTTTCCGCATGGAGCTCGACTATATCTGGATTCGCGTCGTGTAAGGCCCATTTAAGGGGAAAATACTCCCTAACAAGATTTTCCCCATATTTAGGACTCGAACCTGAAACCTCTGGTTAAGGGTGAAGGAATCATATCCATCTCACCACAACCGATGTTGATATATTTTATGTGATTTAAGATTATGAAGGTAAGAACATGTTCAGCTCCATTATTTTAGAACCTCCAAGTTTTTCTTTAAGAAAATAGGCTAATTACTCAAATTGACCATCAAGAGAAAAGACCTGCTCTTCTTAATTTAAACAAACTTTGTTTCTTGATAATGTGAGATGAGAGTGATTAGGAAGTTTTAGAAGATGTGTTTTTGTTGCAAATTGTTTAAAAAAACACAGAAAAGTCTGTGTATATATATACATACATACACCTTGATATAATATATACAGACCACCTTATCAAATTCTACTATTTAATATACAAAAATATGATCAGCTACAAAATGAATCATCAGTATGATGATTGCAACCAAATCCAATAACAATAAGAAAGAAACATAAAACATGAACTCTTTTCTTTTACATATGATATACTGTACTTAATGCAGTACAATCCCTTGTTTCCTACTGCATAAAAAACTTGTGCTGCTACTAGCCAGAGAAACTCAAAGTTTTGGATGCTGATTCTCTGCACTAGACCGGGCAGCTATTGGCTTTAACGCTCTCCCTTTTACGCGCTTATATATCAAAATGGATAACAACTAGAATAAGTATAGCAGCAGAAGCAGAGGAAGAATCGACAGCATTTGACAAAAAAGTGGAAAAAGATTACTCCATAACGAGCTCCATATGGCGATTGAGATCCTGAAGATAGTTTGTGCTGGTATAATCTTCTGAAAACATCAATGCCCTCCCTCCCATTGACTTTTGCTTCATTTCTACTGGCGCGTTCTCGCCTTTCAGTAGCTGAACAACCTGCAGATTCAAAGAATATGTAACCATTTGGTGAAGCTAAATTTTCATTTGCTGAATAGTTTGTTTTTTTGCATATACAGTATACTCAAAACATTGAGTGTCAACTCTTACTATAGAAGGATCTTGTAAGTCGCTTTGGATATATGTTAAGCCGTTTACAGATAAAAGGGCAGTCCGGTGCACTAAGCTCTCGCTATGCGTGCACAAGGGTCTATTGTTCACAGCCTTACCCTGCATTTCGGCAAGAGGCTGTTTCCACGGCTCGAACCCGTGACCTCTTGGTCACATGGCAGCAACTTTACCCGTTACGCACAAGGCTCCTCTTCAAGGCGTTTACAGATAAGTGTTGTTTAATATCCTTGTTGTTCTAACTCTATGACCAAGATTTTGTAGGTAATCGGATCCTTCACACGATCAATATTTTACTTATAAGACTGAATTTATAAACTTAAAAAACTTGCAAATTCGAGCAATGATCAACAACACTCAAAATCAAAACACAAATGCTGGTGGAATTTGAAGGCTAATTTCAAGTTGAAAAGGCGACAGAATGTAAAGATGCAGCGTTACCTTTTTCATGTTGGGACGCATATCAGGCAAGTTATGAAGGCATGTTAAAGCTGTAAACATGGCGCGTTTCATCTCAACAACATCATAGTCATCGCCTAAACGAGGATCTGCTATTTCCTTGATGCTGTTGTTTTCCAATAATGGTTTTGCCTATGCACAATTGCAACAGGTATTCAATAAGTAGTAAAGAATATGACAAGTTTTTCTAAAGAATATGTCAGTTTAAGAGGATCATACCCACATCACAAGGCTTTTTCTATACGAATCAACTGCACGACGACCAGTAATAAGCTCCAATAGTAAAACTCCAAAGGCAAATACATCTGTCTTTTCATGAACAATTCCATGCATAAAATACTCTGGAGCCATATATCTGATAACCAATTTGCCATACATCAGATCATAACAAAGCAACATTGATAACAAATATAAATCTTTACATACCCGAAAGTTCCTTCAATGGGAGAAACAACATGATGAACCCATTTTTCTGGCAGCCATTTTGCTAGTCCAAAATCAGAAATCTGCACCAATGCAAATTAATAAACGCTCCATATAACAAACTTCAAAACTTGAGAAATTCGGATGAAATCCTACTTTACAGTAGAGGTTTCTAAAGGGGAAAAAAGATTGAAACCTGAGGTTCATAATCTTCAGTTAGTAAAATGTTTGAGGCTGTAATATCTCTATGGATTATGCGCTTTTGGCAATCACAATGAAGATAATGCAATCCCTCAGCTACACCAACAGCAACTTTATGTCTTATTCCCCATTCAAGTCTCTCTTCTGAACCTGAAATGCTGAGTTTTTCGTTTATCAGTCAAAATAACATAATATTTCCATGTTCACCTCATCACTCTCGACATTTCATTCAATATTAAGCGTCCATATTATCAGTCATTAAGCCAAGAAATCAAGATTAAACAAACATAACTAGCCAAGTTAAGAGGGATTACAGCACCGTGTAGTAAAGTACCGATGCTTCCATGGGGTAAGAACTGAAGAATAAGGTACAATCCGCCATCAGCGCTATAACCGATTAATTTAGCAGCATTAGGATGGTTAATGTGAGCAATAATTCCCAGCTCAGATAAGAAATCATCAACTTTGTCCTCATCATTCTTTTCTTGCTTTGTTATCTTCTTCACCGCGACAATCTGACCATCAGGCAAACATCCTTTGTACACTTCTGCATGTCCACCTTGCCCAATCAAGTTGTCTGTCACATTCCAAGGCACAATTCAGTATAACAAAGGGTAAACTACGCGCAAATTTTTATTATCGAGTAATAGAGATTATGCTATCTAATTAAAACAGTTTAAAATTTGCAAGAAAGTAACATAATTGGTGTAAAACTGTGGGATCAATGACAATGACAAGAAGATGCAGGCATGTGCTATCACTTAATGAGACAACAGCATCAACTTGGCAATTTCAGCTTTTGAGGGGACAAATTAAAACATAAAGGACCATAGACATTAAGGAAAATTTAATAAGTTGGTCCATCAATAACTCATGCCAATTCGCGAAAAAGTTCCACATTGAACACTCTGATCTGTTAGATGGACAATGATCTGACTACTACTACTACTACAACAACAACAACAACAACAACAACAAACTCAGTGAATTTTCACAAGTGGGGTCTGGGGAGGATAAGATGTACGCAACCTTAGCCCTAGTCTCCTACTCTGGAGGGCCAGAGAGGCGGTTTCCAATGGACAACGATCTGACTATACATTCTAATTTCAGATAGGGACTACCACTTTCTCATGTCTATCTAATCCAAATCCAAATGTTACTACTCTAAGGACTTTATCAGTTAAACCATAGAACTATTATAACTTTCATGCAAAGTACTCTATATATGTCTGCCTGTCTAGTCATTCTCTAATTAAATTAATTAGAAGTAGTATATAATGTCATTTTCTAGAAACTGGTCCTAAATTTTGAGAATATGACTTTGGCATCCCAAAAATGCAAATAGGAACCACCTCTGGCGATAAATAATACTTGTAGACAATACCCAGGATAAGATGTGAAAATTTTGAATTAAGTTATTTATACTTACAATGTAAAGTTCTTTTAATTAATATTTTTTACTAGGTTATTAATTAGTCTATTGGAAACAACCTCTCTATCTGCACAAGGTAGGGGTAAGGTCTGCGTACACACTACCCTCCCCATAACCCACGGTGTGGGATAATACTGGCATGTTGTTTTTTAGGTTATTAATTAATACCACATGTTAATATTTTGTCTCTGTATGACCTATAGGTCACGCGTTCGAGCCGTTGAAGTAGCCAATAATGCTTGCATTAGGGTAGGCTATCAACATCACACTCCTTGGAGTGCGACCCTTCCCCGGACCCTGCGTTAATGCGAGATGCTTTGTGCACTGTGCTGCTCTTTTTTCATATAGATTTACCTGAATTACCTTATAAGCGACTCAATTGCGTAAATATTCTTTAAACCAAAGATGCATAGAATTTAAACTAGAAAAATTGATTAAATATGGAGTATTACCTTGATTAAAATTATCAGTAGCTTCAGCAAGATCCCTATAGCTAAAATTCCTCCAAGAAGGTTTTGGAATAACAGAATCATCATCACAATCAGTAGATTCTTCTTCAGCACTTCTATTTTTGGACAAAATTCTCCTTATATTCTTTGGTAATATCATCTCATACCCTCCTAATAATGGTATACTTGACAATCTTCTCATTGACCTTCTTTTTATATTATCAAAAAGATTTTTCCAATAAACACCTTGAATTAATTCCCCTGAAGATGATGATGCAAAACTGCTGCTCCTATCATCACTGCTGCTAATGCTGCTATTGTCTGAATCTGATGAATTCAATGTAGGAATTTCTAATACTCCTCTTGGTGATAATGATGATGAGTACTGATTATCGTCTCTGTTATTGTTGTTGTTGTTGTTGTTATCTTCCGCTTTTTTATTACCTTCTTTTTCTCCATTTTCTTGGTCACAAGCAGCAACTCTTCTACCTACAAAATTCATAGGTAAAAGAAGAATTTATTGGCAAAAAGGTGTATAAATCATAAGTCAGTGGCGGAGACAGAAATTCTAGATTTGATAACATGTACTTCTCTAGTGTCAAGGATATTAAAAAACCATTTATATATGTACAAAAATTTAGAGTAACCGTCAAGTTATGTTTGTGTGATCTATAGGTCACCGGTTCGAGCCGTAAAATCAGCCACTATCAGGTTAGGTTGCCTACATCACACCTCCTTGGAGTGTGGCTCGTCCCCATATTTTGCGTGAACGCGAAATGCTTTGTGCACCAAGCTGCCTTTCTTTTTATTTGCATAATATAACTTTTTGACAAAGTGAATTCTCTTCATTACATGTGACTCTGCCATTGTTTGCGCTAGATTGACAATCAGCAATAATTTTTGAAAATATAATAATATGTAGGAAATTTGAGATTAAAGCGTAGTTATTATGACAGTTCTATTTAAATCATTAATAAACAAGAACATTCATATAGTACATAATAAGCAAAAAGCTTTACACCAAAAATAACGCATATAAAGGAAAATAAATGATAATAAATGCAAAGAAAAGCTAAGAATAACCTTCCATTGGGATATTTGGAATTTGTGTCAAATGCTCAAATGAATCAATAGAAGCTTCCTGTAATAATATGCAGGAAAGGAGCTAACAAAAAATTCATAGAAATAAGCTCTGAATATATTTACATTTGAGCAAATTAAATTCCAATCAAACGCTCTTCTCCCCTGCAGAAAACAGGAAGAAGAAGAAGAAAGGAAGAAGAGAGAAAGAAAGAAAAAATGGAAGAGTTTTGAGCAAAAATGATTTAGCTTTGAGAGGTTGTTATTCTTCTTTGAAAAAAATGGAGGTGAAGCTGTAGAAGTGGAGAGAAAAAAAACGGCTTTTGGGGTAATTGAATAAATGTTTGAGTACATTTATATACGCTAATTAATAACTATAGGTGAATTAATATTGTAATCAATTAAAGTGTAATTCATTAAATAGTTGTGGCTGATGAAATATTATGACATTCTTGATTTTTGGTGCAACTATCATTAGGACATTGTCGGAGAAAAGAGTGTATATATTACTTCCTCCGTCTCATATTATCTATCGTGATTTCTAAAACTAATTGTCTCAAATTATTTATCATTTTAAAAGTTTAAAAATAAATTAATTATTTTTTCCTATTCTACCCTTAATATTAATTATTCTTGAAAACTACAAATACCTTAATTATGAGTAAGTAATAAATACAGAGAAATTATACCTTAAGACATAAATAAGGGTAAAATAGCCAAAACCTTCCTATTTAATATTTTTTTCGTGTAAAAGAGAAACACGACAGATAATATGAGACGGAGCGAGTACTCCTTCCGTCTCAAATACGGCACTTGAGAAAATATTAATTAGAAAGGGTTTGGACTATTTTACCCTTATTTATAACTTAAGAAATAATCTTTCTTTATTGAATATTTACTCTATTTATGTATTATTTCCATCTTAAAAAGCAATTACCATTAAGGGTAAAATGAGAAAAAATAATTTATTTATTTGAGACAATTATTTTTAGAAATGAGGATAGATAATTTGAGACATGTGTTTTCATGAATTAAGCAGGAACGAAATTTAACCACAATACAATCTCCTTTCGTAATAACATGATATAAACGTGTAATAATTAATCTGGTCGGATTATTAATCAAATTTAAATAGACTACCTAAATCGACTGGCCAATCCTATATGAAAGAATAGTTATTCAGTGAAGCTATTAGCTGTACAACTTTAATATAATCAAATGAATTACTAATTAGCAATATTTTCAAATACCACTTAAAACTATCAAAAGTTATGGTGGAGTGATAAGTGCTTCTTCTTTCTTAAGTAAAATATTTGGATTCGAACCCTGGGTATGAAATTGACTTTTGTAGGAAGTGTTTTACCCCTAAAATAAAACTTTCTGCCACTAATCCAAATTAATCAGACGTATATAAGGCAACAACAAAATTATAAAGTTGTGGTGGAGTGATAAGTGCTTCTTCTTTCTTAAGCAAAATATTTGGATTCGAACCTTGAGTATGAAATTGACTTTTGTAGGAAGTATTTTAATAGAACTTTCTGCCACGAATCCAAATTATCACAGGCGTATATAAGACAACAACAAAATTATTACCACTTGTGGGGTAGGGTTGGGGGTGGGGGGTTATGGGGTTATAAATCAAAGTTTCCAATTCCAAGGGTCAAAGTTGGAATGATTTTGTTGATGAAATGTGGATTTAATTTGAAAAAGTTTTAATATTAGTCATTAGTTAACATGATGATATAGTCAAGATCAATGTGATGTGCTTGTGTGCATACATATTTGGTAATTAACACCAGAGTTGAATTTAATATCGTATAAATTCTTAGAAATCAAATGAAACAAAACCAAAGTTTATTTATTTGGAATAACTCTGCAGACCTCTCTCCGGATAGAATTATCTCTTAATACGTTTTAGATAAAAAGTTATTTATTATATTTTCTCGAATTACCCCTTACTATACCAACCACCAATGAATGGTGTAGACAATAAATTGGGTCAAGAAAATAAGCGAGATCGAAAATTATTGCAACAACCTCGGTATTTGATTTCAAATAATATGAGTGTATAATCTCTATGAATCCTCTGATTCTTCTTTTCAATAGTAAATAAATTCAAGAGCCTTTGAGCTTGATCTTAAATCTATATCTGTTGTCACGAACGATGATCTTGAATTCAACTAGCACGAACTTTGATTTGAACTCATACTCCTTGAATCTTGATTTGTTCTTCGTTCTTGAGTTTGAACTTGATTTCTTGAACTTAAACTTGATTGCTTGAAACTTGTAGAAATATTTACGGCGTTTGATCCACGAGCTCTCTCTTGCTTCTTGTTATAACTTCTGGTGTCTTTTCTGAGTTATGAAGACCTTTATTTATAGTTGTGGAATAGAGGAGTTGTGATGAGAATAAACTCTTTCCGACCAATCAGACTGAAGTGTGGCAAGGCCGTATTTGATTGGCCAGAACATGTCAGTTGCACATGTGGCGCGATTTTACTGGCCTTTTAATTTGATTTCGCATGCCTTGTCATATTGACATGTGGCATGATCCTATTGCTCTTTCATTTGACTTGGCGCACCACGTCATTTGACATATGGCACCAAACTGGTCCTCTAAGACGATGACATTTTGAGCTCAATAAAGTGGGCTTATCACTTGTGGCCTGATTACCTAGGCTAGCCCAATAAATTTGAATTTATTTATTTAACTCATATATATCGGACTTATATAATTAATTCAATTATATTATCCCATATATTTAGTCGGACTAATATATTTAAAATATAGCCCATATTATTTTATCGATTTAAATTCGATAAAATTTAAATGCTTACAAATGGAATGTTAATTTACGCAAAACGCTCTAGGCAGGATTAAGATTAGTTTAGACAAGCACTCTTATAATTAAAATTATTAATTTTCTTTAAAGGTATAAAAAAAATTCAAAATTCAAATAATATAGACCTAAGACAATGTTAATTTTAATTTGAATATGATTAGGTAGCTTGTCCTAGTGCTTCATGTCTTCTTAATCATGGTTTAGAGTGCATTATTTTTTCTTGAGCGCATGAGGAATGATCATTAAAGTCTGGAAAATTTGTTATTTGAGTTTTCAATCTTCTCTCCCCTTCCCACAGACATACTTTCGTCTTTTTTCACCTGGTGTCTAGTATTTGTTTTGGAGTTCTATTAATCAGGATTCAAATTGAATATTTTATTTTAAAGGAGTTCTATTAATCATTTCTATAACTTTCTCTTCAGCTTTCCTTTTTCTTTCTTTTCTTCTTAGTAAACAATCATTTTCATTATTGTATCCGGTCCATTTTAATTGAATTTTTGGCCTTTTTTATGGTGCATAATATTTGATTTTTTCAAGTATCAAAAAAGAATTAATTTATTTTTTTTCCAAAGTTGTCAATAGAGTAAAGAACCTAAGAGTATTTGTTGTATTTTTAATAAAAAATTAAAGTTAATATGGTCAATTATATTATTAATTAATACTAAAAAATAAATTACTTAATATGTGCGAAAACAATAAAAAAAAAACAGACTTGAGGGAGTAATATTTAATGAAGCGCATGGTAAGGTCCTCCTACTAACAAAAGAAAATTTAGAGAGAATTTCGGACATGGTTAATAAATTAATGAAAGGATTTGAAAGGATTCCTATAAGATACAGTGAGATAAATAAGATCCTTACACTTTAACTAAAGGTCTTGGGTTCGAATTTCAAGGATAAAAAAATTCCTAGTAGCCGGAGCATTTTTTCCTTAATGGTCTTTATGTGGTGCAATCGAATTAATCATGACCCCCAAACGAGCATCGAACAGCTGGTGCAAAACCGAAAAATAAGAATTCATATTATCTCTGTTAATAAATATTTAGTTATGTATCAGGAGTCATAAACATCACAATTATGAATCTCTAAAGAGCAAACAAAGACCTAACGAGAGATAAAGATTAAATGGTTTAGTGGGTGAACTAAACTTGCTAATCTACTTAAATTATGCTTCATGATCAAAATAATTAATAACCTAAACTTGCTATTATACTTAATTTATACTTCCAAAATAAAAATAATATACCCTTACCTTACCAACCTCACCAATGTCACTTCAGTTAGGAAAGTGCGTTGAACTGAATTCCACAAATATAAAATTGGAAGAGCTCCTTAAGGTTAGTAATATTTCTTTCCACTCCAAATTACTCTCTCTCTCTCTCAATTTATGGGCAGCGTTCAAATTTTGGGCGTCAAACTTCTTAATTTTGATCGTGCATTCGGATACAAAATCTTTAAGTTTTTTGAAATAAAATTTATATAAGAAGTACTATAAGTTACAATAATTAACAATTCAACATATCCAAAAAGCATATGAAATAATCGCAGTAAAAAAAACTCCTTTGACTCTCGAATACGAACTCCGCCACATAAATTCAGACGAAGGGAGTAATTGTCTTAGGAGCATCGCTTTATGAACATCAAACTTCAATGTATTTTGACGCCAATTTTTGTATATATGATATATTAAAATCTAGTGATACTACTAAGTCGAGCTGAAGGGAAAAAAGAGATGGGTGGTCCGTGAACAATAACTAGAGAGGACTCATATCCTCCCTTGCACTCTTTTCCATGCCTATTTTTACACACCAACTCTAAATAGACACAAAACCTTCTCTTTTTAGTGTTGAAATATTGAAAATGTAAATAGCCTTTTTTCGCTCATTTTCGATATCTGTCTGCGGACTTATATGTTAATGTATTGTCTTTGAAAAGCATTTTATTCTCAAAAATAATTTATGAATATGTGTAATTGTAAGAATTCGAAAGAAAAGGTTACGAAAATGTTCTTGAAATTACAACATATTCTCAAATTAGCAAAGATACTATTTCAAGATAGTCAAGAAGGGGTTGATTTTTCTGCTATTTTTTTTCTTAACTGATCAAACTGCTTAAGGAAACAAATTTTCTTCTTCTAAGGGAATCTTTATCTTGGATATGACTTTCTTTTCCTAATAAAGACCTAAAACAGTTAATGGCATGAAGTCATCAGCAAAAATTCTTACCTCTATTAGGTAGTCAAAATTCAAAGTGGGGCACCAACCTATAGAACTACTACTTTCACCAAGATATCCAATTGAAAGTTGTAACATGATGAGTGATAATGTTAATAATAATTGAAATAATCACCAAATTATGGTGGAGTGGATAAAATTTATTTACCAATAATTAGAGGTTTCGGATTTGAATTATATAACTAGAAAATTTTTAATAGAAAGTGCTTCCCCTTGTAATTAGAACGCGAACGACGCAAATTTAAATTAGTCG